GGGCAGGGTGGGGTGATGACAGGGATGGGGGAGGGGGAGGATGTGGATGGGGGGGCAGAGGAAACAGTGGTCTATCTGGGTTGGGCTGCTCGAAGGAAGGATGGAAGGAAGGAAGGGAGGGAGGGAGGGAGGGAGGGAGGGAAAGGGACCCTCCTCCAGAGGCCCACCAGCAGCAGCACCTCATCAGCAAGGCTTGAAGCCTTTGTCACACAGCTGGGCAGACCCGAGGGCCCTGGAGACTGACCCCAAAGACGAAAGACCACCAGAAAGGGCAGCACCTCTCACACCTGGCTGGTGGTCAGGGGACCTGCTTCTGTTTTGTTCTTTCATACGGATCCCCTGAGCTTCCAAAAACCCAGGTCTGCGGATCTCCGGGGCCCAGTCCTGGAACAGTCCAGGGCAAGGCAGCCCAGGTGTGGGGCTCCCCCACCCTTTCCCACCACCCCCGCTCCCAGGAAGCTGTCAGTGAACTTTTATGGCAGGGGTAGCAGCGTTGAGACACGGGTGTGCCGATGCTCAGGCGGGGATGAGCCCCCATGTGAGTCGGTCACATGGAGGAGACTGTCGCGAACCCCTCGGATTCAGTCCCAAACCCAGCGCCCCACTGGCTCCAGGTGGGCGGCGGCTGCCTTTGCACAAGAAAACTCCCTTCCTCGTGCACCACGCACCTTGACTGTGGTTCTGAGACGGCTCGAAATCCGAGTCGGAGCTGGAGTCGGAGCTGGAGCTGGAGTTGGACGGGCTCGACTGGGCAGACTTCACCCGCGACAACGGGGACGGGCGGGACAGTGGGAGAAGAGACAAGGAGACTCTTTCAGTTCGAGGGGAACGAGCGGGCGATGATGCCTCTGGCCTTCACCGAGTCTCGGCCCAGACCCCCACTCCGAAGCTCGCCGAGGCACCAGACCCCAACACCCCCTGCCTAAGGCACACATGAGCTGGGCTCCACGGATGGCCCAGCTCCCGGCTCCCCCTCAGCCCCAGGACACCGGTTAGCATTCAAAATGCAACGCAGGACTTTTCTTTTCCCACTGAGGGACTTGAACTTTCTAGCAGTTCCAGGAGAAGCTCCAGATCACACCTGCCTGCGCAGGGGGACAAGGAACTAGACAAGCCGTTGATGCAGGGCAGGGGGCGCTCCTCTGTTTGTGGGCCCTCCTCTGGTGACAGCATGCCCCAGCTGGTGTGGGCGGTGGTGGTGCCGCCACAGGGCACAGCTGAAGGGTCTGGACAAGAAAGGTGGGCGCAGAGACCCCCTTCTCATCCTGCCCGTTCTTCACAGCCCATCCCAAGGCTGACGCATGATCAAAAGGCGTCTTCCTGCCACGTGCTGTCATCCACCGGGCACCTGAGGTCATGACGAGCATGTGTGCACATGACCAGCAGGTGAGGACACGGTGGCCTGTCACGCGCAGAGCCGGCCAGTCACACCCCTTCCTCTTTCCTTTTTGCAGCCAGCCACCCCAAACTCAGCCACCAGGGGGCAGTAAAAGCCAAAAGAGGACACTAGATGGTAGAGAGGATGGGAGGTGGGGGGGTGGTTAAGATGCCTGGGGGTTGCGCCTCTCTTGGTGGACAGGGACCTGGATAGGGACCATTTGCTTCAGACGCATGCATGCTCGTGGCAGGGGCCTCCGGCAGTGCCACACAGAGTGCTGAGCCAGAACAGGGGCAGCGTCTGTTCCCAGGCCCTTGCTTTCTGCCAACAAGCTACTCCAAAGGGGCAGCATGGTAAGCGTGGGCCAGGGGGCACAGGCCCCAAAGGGCATAAGAGCATAGTCCAGAGCTCAGAAGGTCTGCCTTGGACCAGAGTGCCCCCAATGCATGGAGGGCTGCTGCCTGAGACCAGCAAGGCTGTCCTCGGGATGGGCTATCCAGCCCTCCGGCCTCAGGGTCCTCTGAAGGAAATGACAGCTTCAGCACCTGGGATCAAGCACCTCCCCTTGTCAAGAGGAGGGAGGGGGCCGGGAGACGGGCAGAGGCACCCAGTGGCGTCTGCGCAGGTGTCTCGGGAGTGAAGAGCCCAGAAGAGCCCCTGACCTGTTGGGGCAGAGGACAGCCCCTCTAGATGGTCTGTGAACCAGGGGCGGGCCCCAGCCCATGCAAGGGGCCCTAGGAAGGCACAAGTCTCCTCCTCTACAGACCCATGAGTGATCCAGGCTGCCCCGGGGACAGAATACTTTGCACCTGATTAGTTAAAGGAGTGAGTCCTCCAGGGTTTACCACAGTCTTCCAGAACCCACTCCCACCTTCCCGACGCACCCCTACTGATGTCCCCTACTCACCCACCTTCACACTGGCCAACGATGTTCTCTGGGAAGCCCTCCCTGGGGAAACCCGGCCTGGACTGCCATCAAGCACTGACCACTGAAGAGGGGCCATCCAGACCAGCATGACCCCACGACCCCCAGCAAGGGGCCCAGCTGGGCCTGGAGCCGCAAGGCGCCTCCGGCATGTAGACCCCGAGTTCTTATTCTGGCCCAGGGGTGCTGCATTCTGACCCTAGCTTTCTCACCAGCATCCCCAGTTTTAAGCCTCAGTTTCCCGATCTGTGAAAGAGCAAGTGTGCCGGCCTCTGCTCAGTGTGTACAGGTGTGTGTGTGCCGGATGCTAGCACATGAAGGTCAATGCCAACTGTGCCAACGGACCTCTGGGGCACAGACCTCGGGCAGGACTGGGCCAGGGATGTGAGAGCAGCAGGGGCTGTGGGGCGGGCACAGAACAGCAGGGCCACGTGCTAGACCAGGGGTGGCGGCAGCGCCCGGTGGGGAGACGGGTCGGCCGACTCTGGACACAGGGAGCCCCCAAGAGGCCAGCCTGGACCCTGTGTCAGAACAGGCGAGCACTGGTGGTGTCCCTGCCGAGCAGTCGGACATGCTTCTCAGAAGGACCTGTCCCTCTTCCTCCCACGCTAGCCCAGAGGGCAGGGAAAGGGAGCCCAGAAATGATTTCAGCTAAGACAGCCCAGAGCAGGTGTGGGTCAGAAGTGCACAGGAGGTCACTGTGAGCGCTGCAAAGTGTCCTGGTGCTCAGGCACACGGAGTGTCCAGAGGGAGGACAGAGGGCCTCCTGGGCCGTGACTGGATGGGAGCCACTGGCTCAGGAACCCCATGGACCAAAGAAACCACAGAAAAGCCACTGGAGCAGCTGAGGAGCTCGGCCCAGGGACTCAGACAAGGAGCTGCCCAGCTACCTCTGAGGGCTAAGGGGAGAGGCGACTCAGGGTCCACACACTGGTCAGAGCTTTCCAGTGGCGGCGTCCCATGTGGACTCCAGGGTCGATGGCCTGAGACAGTCAAGAGAGGCCTAGGAGGCCCGAGTCTGGAAGGCTATCTCGCCTCCTCCACCAGACATCTGTGCCTCACTGAGACCCCAGGGTTGTCAAATGGCAGCCAGTCACGATCTGGCATCCTGTTGGTGGCTGGGTCTCACGCCTACGTGGACCTCAAGTGGCTAAGCCTTGTCATTCAGAAGTCTCTCAGGATACAGAGCCCAGGGCCACTCTGGGCGTCCAGCCAGCCCACTCTGAGCAGAAGCCCCCAGGTGCTCACGACGACCACACCAGGATGGTAGTGTGGTCACTGGGACAGGACACAACATGCAGCTCAGGTGGGGTGCCGGGGGAGGCCCCCGCCTCTTCCCAATGCAGGTCCACCAGCCCCGGGCGCAGAACGGCCTCGTTTAAAAGCGCCTGGGATAGAAAAGAGGGACATTGCCTTCTGGGTATGACAAGTGCTGGGCACACGGCACTGCCAGTCCTGTGTGTGTGTGTGTGTCCCTAAGCTGGTGGGATGCACTGTTACCCACAGGCTCAATCATCGCCTCCACAGCCTGCCCCTGGAAGCCACACGCTCAAGACATCGGTGCTGCTGACACCATCCACCCATGGCTTCGTCTCTGGGAGCCACTGTCAAAGTCCCTGTGGAGCTCTGAGAAGCCACACTGGAAGGCAAGCCTTCTGCCCCCGAGAGTGAATGGGGATTCATAAACACAAAAGGGACAGTGTGGAGGTTCCTCAAAAAATTAAAAATAGATCTACCCTATGACCCAGCAACAGCACTGCTAGGAATGACCAAACTGGAGTGCTGACCATAGTACCACTAATGTTTATAACACTTTCAACAATGGCGAATTATGGAAAGAATGTCCATCAACTAATGATGGATAAAGAAGATGTAGTTTATACAATAAATACTACTTGGCAATGAAAGAATAAGAATTGGCCTTTGTAGCAATGTGGATGGAACTGGAGAATTATTATGCTAAGTGAAAATAAGTCATACAGGGAAGATAGACCTGCATGTGTTTCACTCTTATGTGGATCCTGAGAAACTTAACAGAAGACCATGGGGGAGGGGAAGGAAAACAAAACAAAACAAAAAAATTAAAGAAGAGGAGGAGCGAAAACATAAAGAGACTCTGAAAACTGAATAAACTTCAAGGGAGTTGATAGAATTAGGAGGAGGGAGGGTGGAGTGATGGGCATTAAGGAGGGCACCCTGTTAGGATGAGCCCTGGGTGGTATGGAAACCATTTGTAATAAATTTCATAAAGGAAAGGGAGGGAGGAGGGAGGGAGAGGAGGGAGGAAGGAAGGAAGGAAGGAAAGGAAGGAAGGAAGGAAGGAAGGAGAAGAAGAAAAGAAAAAAGAAGAAGAAAGAAAAGAAAGAAAGAAAGAGAAGAAAGGAGACAGAAGGAGAAAGGAAGAAGAAAGAAGAGAGAGAGAAAGGAAGAAGAAGAAAGAAGAAGAAGAAGAAGAAGAAAAGAAAAAAAGAAAAGAAAAAAAGGAAAAAAAAAGGAAGAAAAAGAAACACAAAAAAGGGCACTGTGGGCTGGAGCTGGTGATCTCAGCCCCTCTCATCCATCAAGCACTGTTCTCTGTTATAGACAAACAACCTCGGATGGGGCTATACCAGAGACCAAGCGAGGTCCTGAACTCCGCAGGCAACAGTCCTACCTACTGGTAGCTCAGCCATCTCTGATGTGTTGACCTTAAGAACAGAGGAAGCCTGGGTGCGCCAGTCAGTTCGTCGACTTAAGGTCATGAATCCTCATGATCCGATAAAGGATTCAGGAGCCTCAGCGATCAGGCCTCTGGGCTGATGGCTCTCCAGGCCTGGAGCCTCATTTCGATTCTGTGTCTCCCTCTCTCTCTGCCCCTCCCCCGTTCATGCTCTGTCTCCCTCTGTCCCAAAAATAAATAAACGTTGAAAAAAAAAAAAAAAAAAAAAAAAAAAAAGACAGCCTAAACTGGCCGTGGCTTGAGGTCCAGGCCTCCCACGGTGACAGGACCTAGCTCCCAGAGAGGGGCTCCAGCCAGTGCTTAGAAAACATCCAAACTGTGTGCACAGGAGGGGGTGGTGGGAAGTATGGGGAGGCCTCGGAACCCACCGAGGCTCAATGGCCAAAGAGCGGGACGAAGATGCTCAGGGACGTCCCACTGGCACCAGGAGGGAGTCCCCGATGGCACTGACCCAGCAGCGGCCAGGAAAGCGGCAACGGTAACACGCAATCAGCCACCGGGACCCTGGCCCGTGCAGGGGGCTGCCCAAGGAAGACGGCCGTGAACTCAAGGACAAAACCATCATGCTCTACCAGAACTGTCTTCCCCTAAGCCCTGTGTCCAGAGTTTCCCAACAGAAAGAGAAACTGAGGCTTAGCAAGGTGTGCAGGTTTGCCCAAAGCTACAAAGAGCAACTGGGGGATCCCAGATCCCAGCCTCCTCGTCTAACCTTTGGGCCAACAAGGCCCCGAACAGCTCAGAGCCAGGAGAGAAAGGACAAGGCAAGGGGGCCGGTGGGGGAAGGACCACCTCACCTCTGTCTTGAAGGACGCCTCATCCTCCGAGTTGGACTCCTCCACCTCCGGGGGTTTTTTGATCTCCCTGGGCTCACTCTCGGCCTTGACTTTCTCCCCTTTGCCGCTGCCCTTGTCCTTGGCTGGCTTTTTGTCCGAGAAGGAGGAAGACGAGGTGCGGGGCGAGGTGCTGGGGGCGCTCCTGGACCCCTTGGAGCTACTCTTCTTCTGCTTTTTGGCGCTGGGCTTGGGTGAGTCGGCGGCAGCCGGCCGCTTGCTGGAAGACTTGGGCGGGGGTGGGGGCGGGGGCCCGCCCTTGGGGGACATGCTCTCCAGTTTGGTCTCCTTCAGGGCCATCTTGGGTTCCTTGAAAGCGGCCTTGGCCGGCGGGGCCTTCTCTTCCTTGGGCGGCCGGCCTTCGCCTGGCTTCCGCGTGGCGTCCTTGGTGCTCCTGGCCTGCTCGCGCTCCGGCTCCTTGGAGGGGGCCTTGCCCTCGGAGTCCTTCCGTGGCCGCTCCCGGTGCTCCTTGGCCGTCTTATGGGTCTTGCAGGCCTTGCTGCTGTCCCTGCTGGCGTCCTGAAATGCCGGGGCAGGAGGGGGAGAGACACGGTCAAGTGGCATCTCGGGGTCGCCCTGCTCCGCCTCCCCCGACCCCTACAAAGTATAATCCACCTGATTCAGACTCAGCTAGAGAAAATCTTCCATAAAGCGAAAAAGTAAGGCAGCAGGTGAGAGTTTTAAATGGAGCTGTCCCTTTAAACTACTGGGAAGTGTCAGCAGGTCCCGGGCGACTGCAGGCTAAGATGCCCCTCTGAATTGAACTGACATATTCCCTGAGGGATTCAAGAAGAGCACACGGTGAGTCAGACACGAGACAGGCAGGCCACACGTACCCACTCCCGCTCCAAACTCGCTGCTTCCCGCTGGCCCGGGGGAGCAGAGGCTGCGTGCGGCGCAGGGGGTGGGGGAGCTGAGGGGCACCGGCAGGCGGGCCCCCCCCCCCACCTGGTCCCAGTGCACGCCCAGCACAGCTCTTCTTTGGTCCCCACAGCCAGCATTTACTGAGCACCTGCTGGGCTCCCAGGTGCTGTGCAGAAACAGCTCCTCAGATCCCTCGCCCTCTCGCGATCAAAGCCGCCTGGGCGGCATTTCTAAAACACACACGATTCTTGGGTCTCCACCTTGGGAATTCGGAGGGTTGAGGGTGGAGCCCAGAAGCTAGTGCTGGCCAGGCAGGTCACGGAGCTCCTGCTGGAGACAGAGGCAGAGAGGGGCCCTGCGCCCAGGCTGCTGGGAAGGCCCCTGCGTGCCTGTGCTATCTCCAAACAAGGGCAGGACCACCTACCTCACTGGGTAGTGGTGCAGGGCCTGGCAGGCAGCAAGCACTCAACCAAGGGGGGCTGCAGCCACTGCCACCCACCCCTATGCGGCTGGCACACCCTGCAGGTGGGAGCCCCATCTGACGCCTCATTTGGACCTCCTTTCTATCGACACCCCGTCGTCACCCCGTATATCCAGGTAAACCGGACAGGTGCCTGCCGTGCTTGGCTGCCAAGGGCTCTGGCCCCACTCGGCAGGCCAGGTACACAGCCGGGCCCAGAGGCTCTCGAGACAAAGCTCACCAGGAAGCCAAGAGAGCCAGACCAGAGGGTGACCCGCACCACGAAGGTAGGGGCTCCTCTGAGGCAGCTCACCCCAAGTGCCGAGGGGACAGACTGGAGCATGTCGAGGAGGGCAGGCAAAGCAAGAAAAGGCCCAGCAGCAGGGCCCCTGCTGCCCTCACAGCCCACCATGGAGCTTTCCCAGCAAAGGGACCCAGGGACAGACAGTGCAGCCCTGAACACCTCTGATCCACTCCGGTCGCCGTCTTCTTGCAAATCCATACCCCATGTCAGTGCCAAGGGTTCGGGGACAGCCCCACGTGGCCGAGGCTCACCGCTGCCTCCCTGGAGAAACATCGCTGGGTGCCCTGGCCCCAGCTCTTTATCACTGGGGCCAGGGGAAGGGATGCTCACGCCACGAGTCCCCAGCACACGGTCTAAGGGGGCAGCCCCCCTGGGGACTGGCTTGCAGAATGGGGCTCCACTCCCCAGCAAGCTGGTCTCCTGAGGAAGGAGGCCAGAAGCAAATTCCACGTGTAATTCCGGCCTCTTCTCGCAGCGTCTGTGTGCCCACTTAGGTCGCAGGAATGGGTCCAAGCACCAAGAGGCACGCTGGCCAATGCCTCCAATGCAGTTCCCACCGTGACCCCTACCCCCCGAGTCCTAGGGCCAAGCAAGCCTCCACGGCTGCCCAGGACCTGCACAAACAGCAATGGCCTTCGGAGCTGCAGCTCCTCACCAGTGTCTGCCCGGGGCTCCCAGACCGCGAGCCCTCTGAAATCACACGCTGACCTGAGCATAAGGTAGATATTCCCAGGGATAAGGACTCCTCCCAGTCGTATTCTCAAAGCGTTAATGAGCCAAAAGTGCCTAAGAACCAAGTTTTAGAGAAAGGTCAACCAAGCCAAGTGGCTGACATCAGACAGAGAAGCAGGGTGCCCCTGGAGCCACGAGAGTACAGTTCAGGAAGAGGGGCCAACGGGGCCAACCATTACCGGGGTGGGAGCCTCCAGTTCCCTACCACCACTGCACCCTCTGGGACAGAACCATCAGGGACTGATCTACCGAGGGCTGTGGCAGCCAGACTCGCCACCGGCCCCCAGGCCCGGGGCTCCCATGGTCAAGGCCCTGCAAGGACATAGCCCTTCCCTCCTGGCCCCTCTGCCTGGCGCAGGTGGCCTGGCCAATCAGACCTTCTGGCTCCAGGCTGCCAGAGAACCAATCTGGGTGCCCAAAGGAAGGTGCTCAGCTGGAGGAAGTGGCTGGCGCACAGGCGGTGCTGTCCAAGGAGAGCCGAGAGGGACTGACGGCTCAGAAGCGGAAGGGTTTCTTTGAGGACCGTCAGCAGAGAAGAACCTGCCGTTTGCTGCCTGAGAAACCCGTGCAGGCGCCTCCTAAGTCACGCTGCCTGGGGGGCTGGAGAAAGACCCTGGGGCAGGGAGGGGGACGGAATCCTGCCTGCCCCAGCCTCCCGGACCTGGCAGATACACTCTTCTGGCTCGGGGGCTTGCTCCCAGGAATCTCAAAGACGCTGGCGACAGACAGATGCTGCGAGCAGACACAGACGCAGTCTTGCCGGCCACCAGGGTGTCCTTACCACCCGGGGGGGGGGGGGGGGGGGCATTTCTTTGAGACGTTTTGGGTGGCTTGCAGATGACACGTACGGAAGAGATACCAACTCCTACTCTTTCTGTTCTGCAGAAAGTCCCGAAAAACCGTAGATGGCTGAGATAGAAACCACCAAGATCTCTAGCAAGCATCTTCCTTCCATTTAACCTCCATGTGGTTCAGGGAAGGACAGGCCCAGGAGGCCGGCATGGGGAAGATCCCCAGAGCCACACTCCATACCTGGACTCTGACCACACACGTCTGGAGAGCTTAAGTCAGACAAATCCGGGGATATCAGACACCCACTGACCTTGTGGAAAGTGCCAGAAAGACCCTGCCTGGGCGATGTGGCTCTCCTCCAGTGTTGCTGAAGAGTAAAGCTGGAAGGCGGCCTGAGGGTTCAACCTGTCCCGCCTGGGGTGCCCCAGGTCCACAACACCCAACAGGTGAATGAAGCAAGAAACACGCAAAGATGAGAAATAGATAAGCTTGTGGGGTCAGAGACGGGAGGATAAAGCAGCCACCCTGAGAGCCAGATGAGCTTGGCCTCCGGGACACGGGACTGTGTGGGCGGCTGCAAGGGAACAGGACGCACGCTCATGAGTTTATATGGACATCAGGACACCATCTGAAGAGCTCCAGTGACCAGTCCTGAACAGTTCAGAGAGAGGTCGCAGGAAGGCAGAGTGCCACCCGCCCAACAGAACTGAGACAAGAGGACAAAAACATTCCTTCTCGGGGAAAAATGAGCCTTCTCACCACATCGTCCCACTGGGCGCTTCCCCCAAATAAGCCTTCTGTGCTGAGAGCTGTTCCCAAAGAAAGAAGCCAAGCCTGGAACAGCCCAGGCCGGGGGTTGGGGGGAGCACCCAGCCCTGGCAGATGGGGTGTCCTGGCCACGCTCAGGAGGCCTGGGAGTTGGGCAGTCAAGGCTGTGGCAGAAATCCTCTGTCCATGGGCCCCAACCGTGCGAGACTCTCAGGGTCCTGTCTTAGGAGGGAGCCCTAAGGCCCACTGATGCAGTGGGAGCAGTGAGGATGGGGCAGGCTCTCTGGCCTTGAAAGGAAGAGGGTGAAGAGCCTACAATTACTTGGCTGCTCGTGCAATCCAGCAGGGACCGACCCTCCTGAGTGGCAGGGAGCCGCCAGGCGGAGCGAAGAGCTCTAAGAGGAAGATGCCAAGGGAGCAAGTCTGGGAACAGAAGGCCCAGCTCTGCAGAGGGGGCGCCCTGAGCCCAGGACCCACCACTGGGCCCCAGTGCTCCCACGTGACTGGGCCTTCCGCCTCACTAACCTTGGAGCCGTGGGACGGTTTGGTCTTCTTGGGGTCAGAGAAGGCAGAGAGTGGAATTGTGGGTAACATGGGGTAGTCGGGGCTGGGCCTGGACACCGTTTCTGCTCCTTCGGGCATTACCATCACCTAGTGATAAAGAAGAGACAGATGTTATCAGTGAGCAGGGAGGCAAGAGGAAGTGTGCCTGCAGGAGTCCGGCCAGAGGCTGGGGGAGGTGCCTTCTGGGACAAGGGCAAGGGGGCATTGAGAGTCACTTGTCCAAAAGAATCAAAGGCGTTTCCTCCATGAGAGGCTGGGTGCTGAGTGCTCGGAGCAAAGCGGGCTCAAGGTGGCGAGTGAAGAGAAGCTGGGGTCCCAGGATGGCTGGGCCCAGGTGTGGCCGCGTGGCCTCTGGGAGGAGAGCCCCGAGCGCAGTGGACAGAGGGCGAGGCCAGGAAGACCGGCGGAGTGTGCCGAGAAGCACGAGAAGGCAACCGTGGCCCAAGCTGACCGGCACGCTGCGGTTTAGAAGGACCAGAAGCATGGTTTGGAAAGGCGAGAGGCCAGCCAGATACCCACACCGGGCAGCCGCGCGGCAGAGAGAGCAACTTCTGATGGGCGTGCGTACGGGGGACTTCACAGGGTCCCGCGTTTCCAGGGTGGGGGGTGGGGGGTGGGGAGACGAGCCCTCCTCCACGGTCAAGCAGGCAGAAGGTGACTGAACTGGCAGCATGGGAGGCAGAGGCAGGAGAGAACCGCACGGGGGTGGGCGCAGCACGAGCCTGCGGGGGAGGGCAGCGAGTGCCCCACTCTGTTAGCCAACTGCGAGGAGGAAGGGCCTGGAGTCCTGCCAGAAGGTGCTCCCGGGATCCCGGGCTCCTGCCGCACCTGCTGAAGGAGAGAAGGCTTGGGGGCAAGTTGTCCAAATACTGACACACTGCAACTTAACACTGCTAGCAGCCAGACAGTCAGAGGCAGCCTTCCAGAGAGCGACGAGACAGAACAGAAGAACGCAGCACACGTTAAAAAAAATAATCATAAAAGGAAGCAAGGGGGGAAAAAGCATTCAGCTCAGTATCACGAGCACCATTGATAACCTTGAACGCCTGGGATTGATTCCCTGATGAGCCAAACCTCTCCTCTGAGGAGGCTGGTGTCAGAGAACACGGGGGTGATCCCCTCCCACAGCCCCCCAACCCCGAGGCAGCCCAGCCCGAGGCCTGAGTTCCTCCTCAGAGCCTGTCCGACCGCAACACTATGACCCACGGTGCCCAGAGCCCAGCTGAGTAGCCCCGGTCTCGGGCTCGCGAGGACGCGTGTGAGAGAGAAAGGCGACTGACGCCCTGAGCCAGGAGCACACGCGGGTCTGGGCTCCTTCACTCTCGTTTCCTCCCTCTCTCTCGTGTTCAGGTCCCTCTCTCCCTTCAGGTTCACCTCCTGGCCTGACGCGGCTCCTATCCCTCTGCTCTGTAACAGCACTTCGAAAACAGGCAAAGCGAACTAGCGGGTCTGCTTCCTCCTCCGCCGCGGTGCTTCACGAGGACCCAGCACACCCGGTGGAAATACAGACCCTCGGCCGCAGAAGGAGCTCCTTTCCGTGCAGCTCAACTGCCGACGGGGCACCGGATGAGACCCAGTGCCGAGGGGACGGGCGGCCGCCTCCTCAAGGCTGGCCTCTGGCCGTCGGGTCACCGCCGAGGAGGGGCCTGGCGCTCAGGCGGGTAATCAGTTCCGGGTGACCGCGGTGGAGGGGCAGCACGGAAGGCCGGTCTCATCAACCCACGACTGGGCGGGTCTGCGGTCATCTGCCGCAAGATGGCAGATGCCGGCCCCACTGGGGATGCTCAACTCCAGGAGAGCACACGAGGACCCCAAGTCACGTGGTGGGAGCTACTGTCCCACAAGAGTCCCAGGCTGCTCCTAAGATCAGAGATCACTGCTTTGCCGTCAGCCCAGGGCAAGCCCCAGAAGCCCACAGCCCCCCAAGGGTGAGAAGGTTCCTGACCAACCCACCGGCTCTCTGGGCAGCCCCCACAAGAGGGAAGAGCCCCTGGCAGAAACCACCGTGCTGTGGCACACGGGCCTCGCTCTCCCTCCTCCCTCCAGGACCGGCCCTTCTTCCCAAACGGCCAGCCAGACCTGCGCTCCCAACCTCTCCCCCTGCCGCCGCCTCCGCCCTCCAGTTTTATATGTTTTGGTGATGCACACTGAGCCTTCATCTCTTCTTAGCAAAGAAAAGCTCCTTACGCAGGGGACGGAGGGGGACGGCCCCTTGGTCCTGGAGCTCTGGGAGGCCCGTGAGATGTGACCTGCGTGTCTGTCTCCCACAGAAATGCTGTCTGTGGGACCCCTGGGTGGCAAGGGCTTGGGGAAACGTTTGGCAGCAGAAAGAAGGTGGACAAGCAGGGCTGGGGGAGACTGTCGACCCAGGCACCCCCTCCCCCTTCCAGAACTCCCAGGCGAAGTTCAGGACAAATGTCTCTGCAAACTGCTTCCAAGGCCTGCCTGTTTGTTCCCATCAGCCAGTACATGCTAGACTATAATCATAGACTCATCTGTTAGCAGGAACGCGATAGAACGTAGTCAAATTTTCTGCAATGAATAACTGATTCCCTTCTTTTTTTTTTTTAAATAAAGCTTACAGAAGACCCAACTGAATAAATGACGAAGGACTGCTTCAGAGGCCGAAAGCAGCAGCTCAGCCCAAACTCCCTGTGTGCACTGGGCAGGTGGGCCTCCTGAGCCGAACCCTCCCGGCTGGCACCCAGGCAAATGCTCAGTGATTCTGGGTCACTAAAACGTGGCTCTGGGATGTCCCGTGTCCTTGGCCTGGCCCTCCTTCGGCCACACGGCACACACAGTCCAGCCTACAGCCGAGCACCCCTCCTCCTCCACCTCAGGCACCCCTCCTCCGGCTCTGCACTGTGCTCCCGGCGCTCGGCCACCACCCGCACACTCACTAAGAGGCCCGGGCTTGGAGAGCTGCCACTTGTCTGGCTTCACTAGGACAAAACTGCCAGGCCACACGCATCATCAGGGAACCCCACGGAGAGCCACTGCTGTTCCCCTCCGATGACGCAGCCCCGGCACAGCCTTGCCAATCCGGTTAACAGCTGGCTCCCACGCCTCGCCACGCTGACAGACTGGCCTCACGCCCACTCCTCCCACCCCTCCTTCCCATGAAGGAAGATGCTAATTAACCACAGTCAACCAGGAAACCATGGGGATAACTAGTGACCGGTCACTCACAGCGACAACGCCCCAGCACAGGCTCGGGGCACCCGGGTCCCACGGTGCTGCCGGGTGCCACCGATGCAAACTGCACCTCTGAATCTCGGGCACCCGGCCAAGGCCGGAGACACGTGCCCGGGAGACCCCGAGGTACCCCCGGCACCAAGCTGCTCAACGTCAGGAGCCACGTGGGAGCCACGACCGAGCAGCCAGCGCGTCCCCAGCATCCATCTGCGCAGGGGCACACTCACCCCGCCAGCCATCAGGAGCTTGTACCGGAACTCGATGGTGGGATTGTTGAAGGTGAGCTTCTCACAGCGCAGGTGGTTCACGGGCGGGTTGCCCTCCAGGTTCAGGAACAGGTCATAGGTGAAGCAAACCTTCCTGGGCTCCTCCTTAAACAAAGAAAACAAGGAAGTTCATCTCACAGCCACGCAGAAGGGCGGGCAGGAGGCTGCAGGGACAGCCACGAGGCACGCTCCCCGCCACCGGCCCCTGCCCTTCTTTGCCCTCCGCGAGGCCTCCGTTTCTCTCTCCCGGTCCCTTATCTGCTTCCCTCTTGTGTGCCTCCTTCTCATCCATTCCGTTATCCGAAAGAAGTCGACTTCCTATTTGCACTGGACCCAGCAAAGCAGCCTCCACAACAGAAGCACAGATCGAGAATGATGTTCTCAGATGGTCAATGGAAACATTCCTGCTGATGGCACGTGCGGCCTGGCGCACACCTTCCCCTGCAACCCTCGCGGCCCCCGTCAACCAACGGAGAGACTGAGGCCTGAAGACACGACTGCCGGGTGGCGGTGCTAAGATCTGATCCGACTCTGAGGCCCCTGATTCTAGGGCCTCCAGCCCCTGCTCCCTTCCTGGAAGGGAAATGTCCCCAGAGACATCCAGATGGCCAGCAAGCACACTGAGAGCTGTTCAACATCTCTACCGACCAGGGAGCCGCAAATCAAAACCACAACATAGCCCCTCACACCTACGAGGCCGGCAGTTACTTGAAAGACGGAAAACAGCAAGCAGTGGTGAGGAGAAAACGGTGCCCTTGGGCACGGCGGCCGGAACGCACAACTGCCAGTGCGGTCACTCTGCAAAGCTGTCCAGGGGTTCCTCAAGACATCCGACGCCGAGCAACGATGGGACCCATGTATCCCTCCTCACATACAGCTGAGAGAAGCGAAAACATACATTCACGCAAACACTTGTACGTCCAAGTCCACAGAACAGCATTACTCTGGACTCAAAACTGGAAGCAATCCAAGTGTCCAACAGATGAAGGGACACACACAGTGAGGTCCCTCCACACAATGCAGTACCACAGCCGCGAGCAGGAGCCAGGCACCCACACCCGCCGCCCCGCGGACGGACCCCGAACACGCGATGCTCAGGGAGGGAACCAGACACGAGAGGCCACGCGGGGGGTGAGCCCACGTGTGTGAAACGTCCAGAACAGGCTCATCCACGGACAGGAAGGGGGTTCGTGGGTGCTGAGGGCTGGGGGAAGACTACTGATGGGGACACAGTTGCTTCCTGGGGACAGGGAATGTTCTAGAATTAGAAAACTGTGATGGCTGCACAACACTGTGAATATCCTAAAACCACTGAATTTGTATGCTTTCAAAGGGAATTTCCTGGTATGTGAATTATACGCAATTGCTTTACAAGCCCTCCAGCAGGAGAGAAGCCCAGGGGTGCAGGTTGCTGGTGAGGAGCTCTCGGCAGCTGGGAGGAGACCCAGGACACGGCAGTCAGGGGTGTGAAGAAGGGGGGGCTCCGTGCACATGCCCTCTTCCTTCCACCCAGACCAGCCAGGCCACAGCCCTGGGGAGAGAAGGGGGCAGAGACGGGGGCTGAGCCTACACTCCCCCCGCTCCAACTGCAGCCAGGGCCCCGGGCCACCCCACCTTCCCCCTCAGTCTCCACAGCCAGCGCCACGGTTTATAGGAGCCATGCAAGCCCTGTGGGCCTTTTTGAGCTCTGATGAACGGGCAGCACGTGGGAGTGGGGACCTGACTGGCCCCGAGCTTACTTCTGGACAGAGGGGACACCAGTGGGGCCCCGCTGTGCCCTGCGTTCAGGCCACAAAGGTAGAAGGCACACCTGTCAAGTAGGGGAGTTGCAGACGCTGCCTTTTGGGAGCCTTGAGCCTGGTGCAGGGAAGACAAGCAAACAGGCCTTCCCAAGCCAGTGCCAACCAGTGAGGGGACACTGGCCTTGCCCCTCCTCCCCAGCAGCCCTTGGGGTCAGCAAGAGTGGTTTCTACCCCAGCTGGTCCCATCTAAACCACACCTGGCAAGCCTTCTCCTGGCCCAAGGCAGACACGTGACCTGGTCTGAGTGATGAGGTGGAGCGGAGGGCAGCCTAGGGACAGCTTTCCTTCCCAAGTCACACACGAAGCACAAGAAAAAAGGCCCAGCATCTCTTTTCCCTACCTAGTCGGGAGCTCAGCAATCCCGGAGGAACATGCAGGGAAGCCGCGAGGATCTCTGGGCCACGAACACCGGCCGGCTGCTTTCCGACGTCTTGTTGAAGAAGAGAAAGGGCCCCCATAAAGCCCCCAAATGCAGCTGACCCCCTCCTCTGTGCCTGCACTGTTTTGTGCCCAACCTAACGGAGGTACTTGTCACAGTGGGTATGTCTCCCCACCAAGCTGGGAACCCACTGGAGGCAGGGGCTGTGGGGACCCTGGTCCCGCACTCGGGTGCTGGCCTAGGGAAGACACTCCATTTCTGTCAAAAGACTGAAACACTAACACAGACAAGAGTGGGGTGTGACCCAACAGTGTGGGTGGGGAGGGTCGGGAAGGCCCCGGGGAGGCTGTGCCAGGTGTGGAGAGTGGCTATGAGTTGATCAGGGAAGGAAGGGGGTGAGGAGAAGCCCCACAGGCCACAGTGTCCTTCCGGAGCCCTGCAAGTCCACAAGGCCGCAGCTGGGAGGGGAGGGGGGACCGTGGTGGCAGTAGGTGACCGGAGAGATGGACCTTGGCCACATCTCGGGGGCAGAGGTGTCTACAGGGGGTTCTGGGCTCAGCAAGAACAAGCCCACGGGCACCTGGGTGGCTCAATTGGTTAAGTGTCTGGCTCTTGGTTTCGGCTCAGGTCATGCTCTCACGGCTTTGTGGGTTTGAGCCCCACATCAGGCTCTGCACTGGCAGCATGGAGCCTGCTTGGGATTCTCTCTCTCCCTCTCTCTGCCCCTCTCCCACTCATGCTGTCTGTCTCTCTCAAAATAAATAAACTTAAAAGAGGGAGGGAGGGAGGGAGGGAGGAGGAGGGAGGAAGGAGGAGGAAGGAAGGAAGGAAGGAAGGAAGGAAGGAAGGAAGGAAGGAAGGAAGGGCCCAGATCTGCATCCCAGGAAGCCAACACCCTCTGGCCTGCAGGACACCACCACTAGGGGCGAGGTTTGAACCTGGCAGATAAAGGAAGCCAAAAAACAAAACAAAACAAAACAAAAAAACCATATCAGACATCTGTCCTGTTCCACTAGGTAAACACAGAAGCTGCGAGAGGCGGACCACGTGGGTCACTCCAGCTGACGTGGGCACCACTGCTCTGTACCTCCTAGCGGGTCAGTGACTGGGGAGCCGTCCGTCAACTGTGGCCAGCATCACACAGGCCACAGATGAGACTGATGCGTCACCTTTCGGGGAGGACTTCACCTCCAGATGCCGGTTCGAGTGAACCCGGGGAACAGACGCAGCGGAGGATGGTGCTCAGTAACGAACGCCGCGGCACAAAAGCCACAAAACGCCGGGCGATACCGACTCTACAGGGCCAATGGCCTGGTTTCTTCAACAAGTCAACTGCACAAAAGAGCAACGGCAGAGGGAGGCTCCCCGTCTCCGCCCCTTACCAACACGTGAGCCCCAACACGGTGGTCGTGTCTACATCCTGATTCAAACGGAAAAACAAACTTTTCACAAAATCCCTCGGGTGTCACGGGATGGTCAACGTGTAGGTTCTGACACTGATATTTTATTAAAAAGCAGTCCCCATCTTTTACAGACGCGTTCTGAAACAGTGACACGGGAAGTTACGATGTGTGGGGCGTGCTCCAAAATGACACAGGCAGGACAGTGGCAGGTCAGAGGCGGTAAGTGCTGGAACCAGGGGGTGGCCACGGGGGGCTTGCTACAGCACTCCGACTGCCTCGATAGATGTCTCGTCGTTTCCTGAAATTTCTGTGAGTGGACACAGTGCCACGAAGCCACGCGCTTGGCGGAGGAACTCGGCGAAGGGAACGACGTGTCAGGGAGGGGAGGGTGGCTTGGGGCCTCCGGGTCACCAGCAGGAGGTGAGCGACCTTCGGACGACCCTGCGAGCACAGGGTCAGACTGGGCCGGGGGCTCGCTTCTCACTGGCCACGTGGCCTTGGTCACAAGGCCTGTCCTCCTAAGCCTCGGTTTCTTCAAGTACCAGGGGGAGTATTTGATGAGACAAAGCAGCTGATTGTCTCAGTGATCAGGGAAGCTGTTGCTTTTATCAGAAAGAGATCCAGGCTGCAAGAGGTCACCTGGGACACCCACAGACAGACGGTAACTGAAGCCACAGGACTCCCCAGCAGGAAAATGGGAGCTCCCAGGGACACTGAAAGGCTGCCCGTATCCTGCACTCAAGGGGTGGAGAGGAGACGAAGGCCTGGTGCCGAGCGGGGGTGCCCAACATTTATCACGGCCAGGCACTTTTTCTAAGCATTTGACATGTATGACTGTGTCCCAGCCCGAAGCACAAGTTCTCTCACTGGCCCCATTTCACAGATGAAGAAGCTGAAACGCAGGTAACCTGCTTGGCGCCACGCGGCTGGCTGGTCAGCGGTAAGCCAGGACTCACTCAGGGTGGGCGGTACTCTCTGGAAGCCGTGGCCCTCAGAGGAAAGCGGGAGGGACGCTTAACGACTCCCCAGAGCTGGGCACGCAGCATCTGGGCTGGGCAGGGGCCCTCCCCCGAGTGCCCAGAGGGTGTCCTGCTCTACTGACCTGGGATCGGCGGCTGGCAGCTGACGTGTACGTCACAGCACGCTGACGACGGCTGATCAGAGCTCCCTCTGGTAAGACCTCAGCCCGGTGCAGCTTAGGAACTTCCAAAAGGGTGACGCCCCCTCCCCGGGAAACCAGCCTCCTTCTCGGGAGGCACAGGCAGCGAGGAAATGCCTCCAAGAGTCACAGCATGTTCAGTGAGGAGTAGCCAAGTTCAAGGTGTGCTGGGCCCACAGTCCCAGGAGTAACATCCCTGTCCTTCCAGCCAGACCCTGCCTACGTGTGGAGGGTCTCTCTCAGCAAAGGCAGCTGAAGCCGGCCCCAAATGCTCTCGGCCCAGGCCACGGGCGGCCACCCACCGCCCAGGATACTGGCCGCAGGCCAGCGTCTCTCTCCAGACTCAGCAAACTAAGACCCAG